TTATGAAAGCCTTTCATTTGCTTCTCTTCGATGGAAGTTTTATTTTCCCATAATGTATCCTAATTTTTTGTCTAATTCTTTTTCTGATGATTGATTCAACCTCTGATCAAAAAGAGATACCTTGGTTATATTTCATCTCTTCAACAAGTTAGTAATGAGCATAACGGCCCTATTGTTCTGATGGAGAGAAAAACCTATAATTAGCTTTCCAGAGAATTTCCAAACGAACAATTTCAACGAAATCTTTCAATTTTTTATTTTATTATGTTTAACCCTAAACCATCCTCTTACAGTTCCCTGTGTTTCGCCATTCTTATTTGTGCATATCACCACACTAACTATACTTAGATAGTTTAGTTTTCGTGCTTTAACTTAACTTGCAATTTCCTTCAATCTTCGTGGGAACGATACTCACTTACTATTTATTACATGTGCGACTGTATATACTAGCACATATTTTGCGTCCAATTTATAGTACTCACAACACACAATATATGACAAATAATAATATTTTGTTGTATGAATGATAGGTGGACTGGTGCACTATCTCACGTCCACCTATCAAAACTCTACTTGACTTTAGACTCTTTCTCGATAAGATAACGTATGAGGTAATATTTTTAATCAATTTTATTTTTTAATTTAATAATTATAATTATAATTTGAGTTTATCTAACTTAGATTAAAAAAACTTTGTAGTTCTTGTGGACATCGTACAATTATCATGCTATTAGCTTATGTACTTTAGATGAAATATATCTCAGTTCGGGCATTTGGATGTTGACAGTCCAATTGATACTTTATAAGATAGTAAAGTGACATCTTACTGATCGTGTGTTGTGACAATTTAACTATGTCTAAGGGATTTCACCACCACTAGTCTTGCACGCATTGCAATGCTTAATGTGATAAGGAAAGACGAATGTTAATTGGGTGGATCATCATTTCGACGTGGTTGATATAGTGGGTGACAAGATTATATAGGTGACTCATTTTTGAATTCATCTTCGACCATGGCATTTTATATGATTAATATGATATGAACAAAATAGGAAACTACATATATTGACCGAAGAGAAGTGAGCTCGAGAAATATATATATGTCTCTCCAAAATCGTCCGCCGATGCAACACCCATCGATGCAACGTGGTGGTAGAGACAGAGGGGAATCAATATAGAGAATAAAACACGTTTTAACATCGTCATCGGGAACAACATAGACACTTGTACAGTTAACAACAAAGCCTTAGTCACCGATGTCACCACTGTCATTCACCCACTCGACTTATTCACCATTTTACCATATGGGGATTCAATCATTATTTCAACATATAGGATATTTGACATAAGGTTTTTTCACCGACATGTTTCCCTTTCGTATAATCTTCCTATACATGTTTAACCATATTATCATTTATTTCTGTATGCATCTTTTCCATAACTGGTATTTCAATTTTCACTATTAATAACAGACTTGGAATCTGGTATTGTTAAGCAGATGCCACGACAGAGTATATTCTACATCGATCTCATTCATAGTGCCAATGGTTGTACTCCATATATAGATAGCGATGATGATGATGATGAGGAAGATAGATTAGTTCACAAGAATTCACATCGTGTTCGTCGTCCATCTATCAATGTTCTACATGATGTCACTTGCATTTCTTTTTACTAGCCAACATCCCACTATACAACGATTGATATGGAAGCCTTCAACGCCTCAAAATTTTCATAATTTCCATAGATTGAGTAATACAACCAATGTGCTAATGGTTAACTATATATTGGAATGACTAGCATGACAAAAGAACTCACCGTATCAACAATTAAAAACTACAATATATGTCGTGTAGTTACATCGACTGTGAAAAAAACAAATATGGACAAGTACATTACTGAATGTGTCCATAAGAACCAAAGGTGTAATTGGAGGGTTTGTGTATCACACTTGAATACGATGAACAACCCATGAAAGCTGACAAAATATGTTTGAACTCGTACATGCACCGTCATCAACTTCAGTCAAGATCATCGGTACTTGGATGTGTACGTACTTTGTGACGTCTTCATTAAACTAGTCAAAGTGAATCCACGTATAGCAGTTGACACATGTATTATTGCAATTACATCTCAATACGGCTACACAATTGATTACTATAAAGTATGGTATACAAGGTATCAGGCTCAACAAAAATTATATGGCCAATGGGAGGAATCGTGGAAAGTGTTACGTCCATGGCTAAAAGTTATGCAGAAACACATACCGAGAATGGTTTTAAAACTGGAAACGGTATCGACATGCGAAAATGATCGTGTCGTACAACTTATGTATAAATTATACATTTTATTTTGGACATTTTTGCAGTGTGTTAATGCATTATGCCACTGCGAGCCATTGGTTCAGATCGACAACAATTGGTTGTACGAAATATACATACAAATATTATTATTAGAGGTTACACGAGACGACAATAGGAAAATTATTCACATCGCCTTCACAATAGTAAAAAATGAAGATATAGACTCTTGAGAATTATTCTTTAAAAACTTACGAAGACATGTTCTATCACATGTTTTACATGATAGAGATTGTGGAATATGTCTTATTTATGATAGAGGCGTAGGGATCTAATACGTAATCCAATGCATGGGCTAGTTTTGACAACCTATGTATATTTATCTCTGGTACTATTTATGCCATATTGCTATTGGGATCAAATACTCGTGTGTGCACATCATTGCTTATTGTTTTTCTATACAAATTCACTACACAATATTCATTACTTTGGTATACTTACTTGAAACCGTATTCAAGGTCTATCAATATAAGTTTCCTCCAATAAAAAATGAATGAAATCTAGACGAAGTTATGATGAACATACAATACGACCAGATTATGCACTAAGACGCACAAAAAAGGGTCGTCTGGAATCAACGCAGACTTACTATGATAAGGATTTGATAAAAAATCGAGAAATAACTGAACAATCGAGACTATGCACTATATGTAGAAATCTTGGACATGTGAAGAAAAAATGTCTTAATCGATACAAATGTCCTAATCGATCACACCCTCGTATCGATTAATTATGTTTTTTCATTGTACTACTACTTTTGTAATTAACAAAATATATTCGTTAGTTTCAATTTTTTTTGTTTCAAACCATTTTTAATGCAATTTTACCCACTTATAATGTCTCGTATGTGCCGATATTAACCTCAATTGAAAGATAAGTTCTAATACTACGCCTCTAATCTTATAAATTACGAAAATTGTCATCTTAACTTTTGAAAAATACCCTTCGGGCATTGCTATCAAGCCATTTTAGCTTATTCTTCACGCATAAAACCAAGTTTTATAACAATTTTCAATGTAATTTTTACCCCGTCTACAATGTCTCGTATGTGCTTATATTTGCCTCAATTGAAAGATAAGTTCCAATACTACACTTCTAATCTTATAAATTATGAAAAATATTAGATTAACTTTCCAAAAATAACCCTCAAATATGCTTATTAAGCCTTTTTAGCTTCAGCTTCATGTACAAAACCAAGCTTTGGAACCATTTTCAATGTGATTTTTACCCCTCTTACAATATTCGTATGTTTCGATATTAGCCTCAATTTAAAGAAAAGTTCCAATACTACACCTCTAATCTTATAAATTACAAAATTTTTCAGATTAATTTCCCGAAAATACCTATCGAACATGTATATCAAGCCATTTTAATTTCTTCTTCATGCACAAAACCAATCTTTAGAAACATTTTCAATGCTATTTTTACCCGACTTACAATATCTTGTATATGTCGATATTGATCTCAATTTAAAGATAAACTCCAATACTACGCCACTAATCTTATAAATTATGAAAAATTTCATATCAATTTTTCGAAAATCCCCTCGAACATGCCTATCAAGCCTATAACTACCCAAATTACAGGCTAGTAGTTTCAGGTTTACCTAAGAGGCAAGTGAACCCCACTGAATTTATAATTCAAGTTGATGGGCTTAATTGGGTTGATCTTGGGTTCAATTAGCCATTAAGAGGGAATTTTGCATAGTGGGAAAATAAGGAGGGACCAATTGTTTAATTCTCCCATTTTAAATATGAGAGGTTTTATAAATATCTCCCATTTCATTTTATTTCTACCATTTTCCATTTCTTCCTTCTTCCTCCTCAAGCCCCTCAAGCCAAAGGTGAGCAATTTGAACCATTTTCTATCTCTTCAAGTTTAAATTTCGTTCTTAACCCCTCAAACATCATGGATTTAACTATTCAAGCCATGTGTTCTTTGGTTGCAAGAGAAAGTTCGGGGTTTTATCATCCAAGTCAAAGTGGGGGATGATTCTAGCTAAAAGATCTCAATATTGAGTTACAATTAGCAAAGTAATGTATTTCTAATCAGAGTAATTAGATTTCATAAATTACAAGTATTTGCTATGATTTGGTGGATTGAGCATTTTAGGGTTTATCTTAGATTTCTCAAGACACCTTAAGACCCTAAATAAATTACTAAAGCTTCAGAACAAGTTTAGAAACCAACCCAAGACGTTTAGGGTGATTTTTAGGTGATTCCCGAACCTAAAATACCTATTTTAGAGTTCGAGTATTAATAATGAGATAAACAATATCGATACTAGTTAACTTGGGGCTAAGATTAGAGATTTCAGATAGGGAATATCAACACTGCTAGGCATCGATATAAGATAAGGTCAAAAAAATTACTTTTAGTTCTAAGTTATTTAAATTCATAAACTAAAATCTCATATAAGATAAGGTCAAAACTAAAGCAATATATTAGAAAGAAACATTAATACTATTTTCAGCGTGATATAAATTTTATTACTATAACACATCAACCGGTCGTTGTAGTGTAGTGGTGAGTATTTCCGCTTCTCACCTGGGCGACCTAGGTTTGATCTCCGGCATCGACGTATATAAATCATTTTTTATCATTTTTTATCCACTGTTTTCCATTAGTCTGATTGCAAACTGACAAGAACGATAGATGTTTCATTTTTATTTTTACCAAAAAAAACTGGTACAATAGATCAAGCAAATCCAACACATCGGAACCAGATTATAAAAATCTCCAAACGAAAAAAAAAATCCTGCAAGTAGTTTACAATCCTCTGTTTAAGCAACAGATGGAGGTGGAACAGCTACGAAACTGGAAACACTCTCAGACAGATGCTTGCACGCTTTCTCATAATTCACAAATCCCATGTACCAGAAATCATGTCCGTCCACCGTAACCACCTGGACATATTTCTCCGACGGATTCTCCCTCATTTTTACAGGGTTTACTGTCCCAACTTTGCTCAGAGGTATCATAACCTTGTAATAACTCCACGTTTCCTGTCCTGAAGGTGCTGTGAAAGACAAGGGACGATCGCTGCAGAAAGCTACATGGATATTGGATACGTAAAGCGTTCCGGCAACTGGTCCAGTCGAAGTGGACAGATAGCACGCGAATGATTTCTTCAGCTTCTCGTTTGAATCAGTAGCGAAAGTTTGCCTGTAAAGAGACTCGAAACCGCCTCCTGATATGGCTTTCGCCGTCACGTTCATCTTCCCCCAAGCAGCTTCCGGTACAGATGACCCGGTTCCAACTGTTTGATTGACAAAAAATGAAGATGTTAACGGGGAAGGGAATGAAAAGAAAGACTAGATTGTAAGGAAATGACAACGTACGGTTGTGCCAAATATTATTGGCCATGGTCTCGGCTTTATGGCTCCAGGTGTTGAAGAGTTGAAGCATGGATTCCATGGGGCTGTTGCTTGATTTTTCTATGGGGGAGTATTGGAGATATGGATTATGGTTACCATCGCCCCACATGGCTGCCTTCTTGTTATCTGGATGACGTGTGGGAACGGCTGGTGCTCCCATGATATGAGTCCCCCATTTCCCAGAATTCTGATCAGCCGGTTCTGGAGGAGGGGGAGGGGATGACGACGCTGGTGCCGCCTCCGCCGCCGCTGCATGTTCCATCCGCGGCTGTGTTTCTCGAGCACTTGGTTGATGAAAAGTGTTGGTATGGTCTTCAGTCGGAGGGGTGATAATGGGGTAATTAGGCTGTGATCCTTTGCCGTTGCTATTCATTTTTGTGGTAGCAGGGAATTCAATACAGAACTAAACTTCTTCCGTGGGTTTGCTTTTGTTGAACTTCTTAGTTTTGAAAGATGTTGCCGCTTCTGATAGATCCACCCGTAGGTTAAATAACAAAAAAAGATTAGCCAAAATACGTGTGTGAAAGCGAAAACCGACTTCAGATGACACCTTAAGCAATCATCCATCTCGGTTGCTTAGCCGTGTCTCCAATTATTTAATTCCGCGTTACTTTCTTATTATTGACGTTGATAAATCTTCTGTTGTTGAAACTTAAAATCCAGCAATTAAAACATCACAGAGATCCACATCAACATTTGATTAATGCTTAATTGCTCATTGGTTTTTGCAGTCCTGGTCTTCCAGTCGAGGTTGGCCTAATCAGAGAGGATTGGTTAAGTTTGGCCTTACTTCTAGAGTTTTTGCAAGGTCCATCAACACTCGTGGTGATACCAAAACGATATTTAACCCGTTTGCAGCCATCAAGAGATCCTAAATAGCAACACTTCCCACCACTATAAGAACTAGGATTACCAGAACAAATCTAAAACTTGCTGTTGTTCTTTCCTACAGAACAAATCTAGAGCCATACCACTTGGATTACAGTTAGATTCTTTTAGGCTTGTCATAGATCAGTTGATGTAGGACTTGAGTGAAGGCCACTTTGTTATTTTCCAACTAGAGGATGATTGCTCGGCTTTCGAAGAGCTGACTACTATTTGAAATGATTGGAGTCCATCACCAACTTGATTCCATCCACAGATGATGAAGTCATCCTTCCCACTTTGTTACAATTTCATGAACCTAACATGTCCTAATCATGATGATTCAGGCTTAGTTCATGGTGAACTGACCCGGCATTCAATAAATCTGCAGATCTTTCTTCCCCCCAAAACCTCTTCGAAAGTTCCTACTGTTTCTAGACTAACTTTTCATCCAGTCAACCCACCGGCAGCACCGTATACACCAATAATGTGACTTATGGGGCTTAATCTGAATGAAACCAAGTTCATTGCAACAGATAGAATATATCGACTTAAAATAACTAGTCTTACGGATAGCAAATCACTAGGAAATTAAACAAAGGTATCATACATCTAGATCACCAGTCAGCTAAGGGTATCCATGACGATTTAATCATCCTAACAAAGCACTAAATAAGCAGAAAAGAAATTGGCAGAGCCAAAAACAATGCACCTATAAAAGCCACACAAATTCCGGTGCATCTTCCCTATGCCCCACCAATGTTCGATAAAGATACATCTTATCTACCTTCTGACTATCATCGAGGTTGGAATCCGTCTGTTCGGTTTCATTTATGATCTCGACATTCAGGTTTGGCATCTTCTTTGCAAGCATCTTGCAGGCTCCAAGGGTAACTTCGCAGGTGGACATCCAAAGGGATCGCATTGTTTCATACTTTCCCATGCCCTCTAGAAGTGCTGCATCACCAAAGGGGCAGTCCCTGATCTCTAGCTTGCGAAGTTTCTTGCAACCGTTCAACACATAAAGCATTCCTTTGTCACTCTCGCCAGCGAACGCAACGGATAGCATCTCAAGCTTCTTAGCATACATTCCTATGTAATAAAAGACCTGATCAGTCAGAAGGCCGGAGAGTGATAATCGCTTCAGACCCTTGCAAGACCGAACGATTGCACCAAAACCTTCATCCAATGGCTGATTGGTTACAGGGTCGGGTTTGATGGGGTTAAGGATGCACAATCTGAAACGGATAAAATTCGTGCAGTTCTTGGCTACAGTTATGAGGGCAGCATTGGTCATTTGCTGGCAGAAGTACAGCAATGAATTGAGCTTTGGACATCCTTCAGATACAAGGACCAAACCTTCCTCTGTCACCGCAGCATTTCCAGCATCAAAGGGATCGGATGGGAAAACCCTCAATTCCTGCAATTCATTGCACGTTGAAGCTACAACTCCTAGTCCCTTGTCTCCGATACAATCCAGTATCTGCAACATTCAAAGTTTAAACCGATTATTGTCATTCAGTTAGTTTTGATGGGCACGGTCATCAGCTGGATATAAAATAATTAAAAGATCATACCCAGAGACGCTGAAGCCTCTTGCAGTGCTGGATCAGCTTAGTAAGCTCATTACTTTGAAGGCCTGCAGCATAGCTCAAATTCAAGAAGGTCAAGTTCTCACAAATCGGATAAATTGCCGACATACAACATGGGGCAACCTCCAAAAACCCTGATAAACTCCTGATTGATTTGCAACTTTGAATGGCAGCTTTGAATTTGTTATAGGCCTCCGAAGATGGATCATGTACATAAGACCCAGTACCCAAGTCCACTAATTGAGGCGCTCGAATCAGCAATCTCTGGAGTGTATCAAAAGGCACAGCACGGTTCAGCCTCAAACTCTTGAGGTTGGGAGATCTTGCCACAAGTCTTTCGAGAGATGCTAAGTTTATTTCTCCTTTGAGGCAGGCGAAATTCAGCGAGGCAAGAGACGTACAGCTTTCAGGAAAGCAACTAAGCCAATGGCCTCTATGATCCTCAACTTCGTTTTCTTGCAAATCCAGCTCCTTAAGAAACCTAGAATTAAATAATAGCAATCATAGAAGGTGAATTAAAGCCACACCATTAAACACCCCTATCATATCCGTACCCTGCAATGACCAAAAGATACATACATACACATACATACATAATATTATTGCATCTAAGAAGATGCTTAGTACAAGGAAACAATTGGCACTTAAAGCTGCACTATATATATAATATCTTCTGGCAAATTGCAACCAATTCAACCCAAGCAATTGCTAACCTACCAACATAAACTTTCAGGAAAAACTCACATGGCAGCAAACTGCAACTAGAACCAGCACCAGTAGGAAACTAAAAATCGATCATAATAACTAAGAATCTCATAAACAACTAGTTATAGCAAAACTCAAATAATAATAAAAAATCATCTTAAACAAGCTTACCTACAATTGGAGGCAATAGCAGCAAGACCATCTGTGGTGAAACCTTCACAGCTAACCAGAACCAAAGACTTAAAATTGGGAAATGACTTAGACAGCAGCTCAAGGCTCTTATCCGACACAACCATCCTCTTAAGTTTAAGCTCTTCCAATCCGATTCTACTCTTAGCCATGGCCTTGATCCAAGGGTAAAGGAAACCTCCCCAGTCATCTGGCACCAAATTAAAATCAGCAAAATGTGGCTTCCCTTTCAAAGTCAGAGACTTCAAACCTGGAAATCTGGCTATCAGCCTTTCTGGACCGATGGAATAACAGTTCCCAAGGAAAACCTTTTGCCTGCTGTATTTTTCAATCTTGTACCAAGATTTACATACTAAAGACACTGAGTTCCGGTCTTTATGTGATCTGATGAAATCAAAAACGTGCTCTAGAACTTCATCTGGGAAATAATTCATGTTTATTGTTTTTCTACTTCCCCAGAACATGAAGAGTTCTTTTTTCAACTTTTTCCCCAGGAAAACTAGGGAAAGGAAAAGGGGGAAAAAGAACTTGATAGATAATTAAGATGATGAGACCAGATCTGATGATTTTAACTACAACCCACAGTGGGAGGAAAAAAGGAGAAGCTTTTTCTTCAACATATTTCGCCTCTCTTTCAAAAGCATAGAAAATTTTGAAGTGAAAATGAAGAGAATATAAATGGATCCTTTCAACAACAAAAAAAATCCAAAGAACTACAGTTACATTACAGTTTAAACGAGAAAAGAAAACAAAGGAAAATCTATGAAAGGAAACTTTTCATAGATATAAAGAAGTTTTAGCTCCCATAAGTGGAAACCGTTATCTGAATCGAAATTTAATAATTTACAAACAAGAAAGATAAAACTTATAAAGAAAAAAGGGATAGAACAGAAGGAAAAGAAAGAAAGTCCCCCCCTCTCTCTGTCTTTCTTCATTCTTCTCTTGCATATCCAAAACCAGTGGAAGAGTGTTGAACTTGAAAGAGAGCTAAACCGAAGTAACCAACCATGGTTGGTTTTTTTCCAACCAACGGTAGTTAAATGATCGAAGGGTTGGTAATTGTTTGACGAGAGAATTAAGAGAATCTAAAGCGTCGAAAAGCGTAGCATGCATGTGTCTTTATCTCTGGTTTCGAGCCATATACTAAAAGTAAAGCGACCAGTAGTAGGCGATTGTGGGGGTTCAGAAAAAAATAACAACCTTTCTTTTCAGTGTAATTACGAGAATGCAACTAACAGATAAGGTTTATTGCTCGTACACTCGCGCCGGTATAGGATACTCGCTGTCGCAGTCTACGACACCTCCATGTGAGTGGGGCATAGCCCGATTCAACTGTGCCAGATTCATTTTAATTACTTACCATATTCCATTGTTTATTTTCCCAAGTTTTTGTTATTTGATAGTACTATTTTTGTTTTTGAGTGGGACGATAATATCAGTTTGTTTTTTAGTTAGACGTGATTTATCGAATTGAGTTAAAAATAATTAAATTTAGTAATTTGATAGGTCTAACACCTTAGTTTTAGTTTTTACTCCGTTTTTTTTTACTTTTTTACCTATGAAATTGAAGTTGGTATGGCCATGACAGAAATTTCATTTATTATAGGAATGACAACCGGCCGGGTTCGGTCCGGGTAATGGTCCTTCCGTCTCTGTCTCTGTTTAAAAAATCGCAGAGATTTAAACGAGAATTTCCATCAGGTAATCGGAGAAAACTGCGAGAAAATGGGTATCCTCGTTTAGCATAAACGGTTATTTAAACGGGTATCGGGCCGGGTATATATATTTAAATTAAATATATAAATATTATATATATTTTTAATTTAAATTAAATTTATTAATATTATATATATATATATATATAATAATTATTTTTAATATTTATCGAGCCGGGTAATCGGGGCTGGGATTACTAAACCCGTCTTCATTCCCATTTAACATAAACAATTTTTCCTCATTCCCGTTTAATTCCATTTTTGATTTTTCCCGTCGGATTCGAATTTTTTTACCATCTCTAATTTATTCTACTTTTACATTAGTTGGTGTACGTGGATTTCTACTAATCATTAGGAGATTCAGTTGATAAAAACAGAGAAAAATCATCTTGACAAAAGCTTGCTTTAAATGCACACATATACGTACCTCAATTAAGAGTTTTGCTAATGATTGTAATTAGTATTTTTTATGATAATTTAGCATATCATTAACGATGGTAAGTAGTATTAGTTTGTAACAGTCAATAATCTAAATCAAGACTTCTAATATGTAATAATAATTGATTATTTGGTGAGTATTATCAACTTCAATGCATTAATCAATGAAATCCTTGGATAAAAGATTTCAGGAATTGATGCTTGGATTGATAATCGATTAATAGATCAGGTGTCGATTGTTATAAAAAAATCTTAAATCATTTTTTTACTAGAGTTAATATTTTCTATATTATAAGGCTTAGTATAAAAATAAATGTTCAAACTATATCGTTTTTCTGAAATAGGTGGTGCATAAACGATTTTTGATAAATTCAGGTGTATAACGTTACAAATATTATAATTTTAGGTGTTTGGACCGTAACCGCCGCCGTATTCCGATAATTTTGTTTTTTAAATAAAAAATAAATAATAAATAAAAAGTATTATTATTATATATATATATATATATATATATATTAAAAAAAACATTAAAAAGTATTATTCCCCATCAGTTTTCGTCCCTCTTCCTCCCGTATCCGAAATCCTACATGTATCGTGATATATGTATGCAAACGAACAATGAATCATTTGTTAATCTATGTGCAGCAGCCGACTCCAAGCAGGAGCTAATAACAAAGAAGCAAATCCCTCGTCGTTTGGGTGATTTTAGGAATTAGGGATTAGAAATTTTATATGATTTAAGGATATGGGGATGTGAGAATTTTAGTGTTTGAGATGATATTAAAAATATAGATTGGTCAATAGGTAGTTGGCGACGAATGGGTCATGTGAGATAGTCGGTGACTAGAGTAAAGGGAATTACAACAAGATATTTTAAAGTTTTTAGTTTTTTATATATATATATATATATTTTAAAAAATATTGTATTTTTTAATATTTTTTTAACTATTTAAAATTTTAAAATTATCTAAACTCGACACGTGTTATTTATAGAGTTTTTAATGGGATTTACAACCGTGGTAACTAGCATAATAACGCTTGTTACGTTAGGTACATGAATTAACCGAAAAAAAGTATTTAAGAAAAACGATATAATTTATACAATTATTTTTATATTAAACATAAGGCTTAAGTATACAAAAGGTGCCAAATCTATGTTTCTTTTTTTTAATTTAGTGCCTAACATTTCATTTTGTTACTTAAAATGGGTCAAGCCGTGACGGACCGTTAAGTTCGATTGTTAAGTGACACGTGTCAAAATCTGATAATTTTTTTAAAAAAATTAATATATATATATATATATATATATGTTTCTAAAAATAAAACATAAATTTTGAAATAAACCATAACTTTAAAAACATTCATTTCAACCCATAAACCCACGCTACTTGCTGCCTTTTAATGTCGATAAAGCTCTACCCAACCTCCCCTCCCCTCGAAGACCAAAACCCTCATGAAATCGTGACCGATCGACGACCGATCGATGACGAATCAACGTTTTTTACTACGCGAGTCCTAGGATGAAAATCACAATTCTGACGACAAATTGACTGTTGATCAGTCACGATTTCATGGGGATTTTGGTCGCCGAGGGGAGGGGAGGCCCGGGTGGAGCTTCGTCGATGGCAAAAGGTGACGAACGGCGTGGATTTAGAGATTGAAATGAAAGTTTTCAAAGTTTTGGGTTTATTTCAAAATTTATGTTTTCTTTATATATATATAATTTTAATTTTTTAATTTTAAATAAAATTTTTAAAATTACCAGATTTTGACACGTGTTACTTAACGAGGAAATTAATGCCGTTGATGACCCGAACACCTAAATGAGTAACGAAATAAAATATTAAGCACCAAATTAAAACAAAATAAATATTAGACACTAAACTAAAAAAACATGCAATGGTTGGGCACCTTTTATATACTAAGCCTAAACGTAATTATAATATTTACTCTTTTATACAGGACCTGTGTATAAGGACCGACTCAAGTGATAGACTAGGCTGAAACAAATGGGAAATGATGAAACTGGAAGGGTTCCAAATTTCCCAATCTTTGGCTGACAAATGAATTAAATTTTGTCATTTTGTATTGATATAATAGTTCAATTATATTATGTTTGTATGCAGCAGGAGTGCCCACCCCACCTTGGCAAAGTTAATTTTCATTTTCACTATTTTTCTTGTGGAATTCACCACTCCCCACTGTTAAAAAAAAACCCATGATTGAGACACTAGTTTTTACCCCGTTTGAGTATATAGTGCAAAGCATCCATCATCCATCGTCATCATCTCGAAATTTCAATGAAACCAGCACCACTGAAAAAAATTAAATTCGAATTTTATCACATGCAAATATGTAATTCATATTGATTATGCAGGACTGTTCAGATATTATATGGCTTGTGGGAGTATTCGTAGCCTAAAAGAAATCAACTTCCCTCGTCTGTGTGACCTTAGAGAGAACCCCAGCACTAATAAGGGCTGATAATCGATATGCCAAAGGTGATTGCAATAAGAGAAGATACTTGAAAGGATTTGACAGGCAACGGTTGGCAAGGAAAATGTTAAATTCATTGTTGAGCAATCAACATTTGGAGGGAGGGAGGGGGCTTGGATGGATGGTCATGGCAGCACTAAGGCAACCAACCTAAGCTGAAAAATGGTGTTTGTAGCTGTGTTTGATTTGTTGGTTTTTAGTGGCATGACATGAAATGGCCTTATTAGTGTTGAAAATGTTCAATTTGGAGTCAAAAAATTGCTGCTGTACACCCCTCCCCCAATTCGGTGGTGCCACTTGGAAGATGTTTAGTGGCAGTGTACCACTTGCTGCGATTTTCACCTACTACTACCACGCCACAAAGGAAAATAAATTAAAAAGGATTTGGATTCAAAAGGCCATGTGATGGTGGGGCTACCAATTAGTAGTAATAGATTTTAATAGATGAATCTTTTGCTAAATCTTAAATTATTCAATGGCCTAACATGGGTCCAACTCACACCAGAGCTGTACAATGCCATGTTTTGAAGCAGTGTGTCAAGCAGCTCGATTCAAATGGGATTTTTACTATACATCGAAGTGTTGAATTGAATGTGGTAATTATTCTCTATTTTAAAACTTCGATGTAAAAGTAAGTTGAAAGTGATCTTAGTTAAGGATTGTTAGCTACGAGGTTAGTGAAAAATACCATCTTTGTTAATAGTCTAAGAAAATTACAAGGTAATATCTGTTCAGAATCATTATTAATCATTGACAATGCATACATACCCTGTAAACATAATTGTTTGAATCCAAAACCTTTAAAATAAATAACACTCTCTTTCACTATTGACTATTGAGGCTATAATGAAAAAACTAATATTATTACAGAGGAGAAAACACAATTGACCCAAGAAAATAAATAAACAAAAGGGGATAATGCTTTTAAGAAGTGGGTGATGATGATGATCATTTCACCATCTTCATATGGAGGGGGGGAGAGACTCATCATTTGCAAGAATTGCAGACCACGTGAAGTACACAAAAGGGTATAAAAAAACCACCCAAAACAAAGATTTATTCAACCAAATTTCAAAGTGCTGAAAACAATTTCCCAATTATTATCACCTAATAAGAGACTTGTTGATTGATTGTGAATCAAGTGTGAACTTTAGGAGCATAATTTCATGCGAGAGTTTGTATGCGGTTTTGGAATGAAAGCTCAAATGGGGCATGCGGCCATGATAACGCATGAAGATGGACTGTCTGCGTGGTCCAAATTATTTTTAAGCCGAACTTGTTTATCGTTTACAAGAAATGACCATCCAGTTCAGTTGGCAGAGCACAAGGTTCTTAACCTTGAGATTGTGGGATCAAGTCCCACGGAGGGCATTTCATAATTCGGAGGTCTCTTACGGAAGTTGCTCTCAACCTGATATTGGGAATAGCCTACTATCTTACCTCCCCCTACCTCATACATATGAGAAAAAGGGACAACTATTTTTTTATCATCGTTTACAAGAGGTGGATGAGGGGTACTGTTCTAGATTGAAAGAGGAACTTTAAACATGTTTCTGTAGTTGTCTCTAAGGTCGGTCCAATGAAAAAGTGGAACAAGACAAAAGTCCCACATTTCATTTTTGACGGGGAGTATTTTGAAATATGCAACGACAAGAGTCGTACATGGTGGTCTTTGCAAAAACGACTAGGCAACCAAAAATTGAGACGAAATTGAAGAAGGTTTAAGGACCACAATAATGGTCGGTTGATGTCAACCAATCTTCTTTTTGTAAAAGGTAGTGAGAGAAGGCGAAAAGCAACCTGCTAAAGCTAAAATATGCCATGCCATTGCATATCCATTCTCAGCTCAGTTGCTCTGCAGTGGGCTATGAAACTGTGGACTCTTTCTCCAAGCCCAAGTGTGCTTGTCTTCTACTATACCTTGCTGTAAAGGATAATTCATTGGAAATAAATGGAGTAAAACGAGTATTTGCTTCCAACAAGACAAGGTAATCTACTGTTGATGCAATATTAATTATATCAAAGCATACGTGAACAGTGAATTTAAATGCAAAAATCCTCCCACATGGGTGTGAACATGGCAGAACTGTTTGATAAATCAATCTGAAAACAGCATCGCATCCGCCACATGCAACGTTTGACAACACGAATATTACATGATGTATGCAACGATTGTGATAGCAACGACTGTAATACCCAAACATCAGGTCAGTGATGAAAATAATAATTTAAAATTTTAGTGGTTAATTGGAATAAATTGAAAAGTTCAATGACTAATTTCAGAAATTTGTGTATAGGACTTGTTTGCAAAGATGGAATAAGAGAAGGGCAAAGAGGTCTTTTAACAGAAAATGAATTTAAAATTCATTTTAAAAGATATTTTAAGCTTTGGAAGATAAGAAAGAGGATATTCTGGAAGCTTGGTTCACTTTTCTTTTCCTTCTCTCCCCGTAACTCCATTGATAAGGTGAGTTACTTTCAAGTTGTTTGTTTCTTGAATTTTTATGTTGGTTTTTGTTCTTTGGGTGATATATAAGTTTAAGGAAAGCTTATGGTTGATTAAAACTAAAAGATGAGTGAATTAATGATGAATTTGTAAAATGAGTCTTTAAGGGATTTGTAGATATGGTATAGTATTTGGATTCCTAAGGATAAATTTGACTTGTCAAGGGTTTAATTAAAGAGTTAGAAGTATTAGAAAGGATTAAGATCATGTTTGAATACTTGGTATGATTTTTAGTTTCAAGTGTTCAGTAGGGATTGTGGATGTTTATGAGAGCTAAAGTGATATAAATTGGTTTTGATAAGTGTAGTTGAGTTTAAAGGCATGAAAGGAGATAAAAGTGAAAGATTTATGTGAGTTTTGGTAAATTTTTGAAATGAAATAGGTAAATTATGGGCAAGGGTATCGATATTGGATGAACAGTACCGATACTTCAAAACAAAAAATAGGAGAAATTTGTGTTTGAGTATCGATACTGGAAGAACAGTAACGATATTGGAAGAACAGTATCGATACTATAAGGTGAGAATTGTATAAACCAATAGAACAGTATCGATACTGAGGATATCAATAATAATGGACAAGTATCGGTACCATTTTTGAAAACAAATTCAAAAATGCAGTTTGGGTATCAATACTTGAGGATAGTATCGATACCATATTGAGGAAGTATCGGTACTGGGTATAGAGTACCGATACTATTCAACTTGAAATTGTGAATTAGGTGCTTCTTTTAGCTTAAGTTATGGATGATTGATTAATAGTAATACAAACCTTGATATTCATCTCGATCACATTATTTGTGTAGATATTGAATGAAGGAAATTTCCGGACGATTCAACGGTATAAGATATTGATCAAGAGTAATAAGAATTTGCTAGGACTAAGTGAGACAAAGGTGAGTGCAAGTTACTTGTTTTATATTAGAGTTGAGAGAGGCTTGCAATAAGCCAACCTCAGAGTTTTCGATCGAAAACTGTTTTATTTCTTTTATGTCACGTTTTTACAATACTTTATTCAAGTTATATTTCTTAAGTTATGTTTTGATTTTTATATGTACATGATTAGGAATATGTGATATATGAATGTGCTTATACGAAAATGCTCGATGTGAAAATGCTGATGTGAACAAGACACTCTGATTAGTGAAATGAGAAATAATTATATGGTTAAAAAGCCCAAGGTATATGTATGAGAATTAGAGGTATTAGCATGCAAAGAGTCGAGGGTTCTATGTGGTCTTTCGGGACAAAACTATGTGGCACTTCGGTGCAATTTATGTGAACAGTAGTGACTGCATTAGTTCACAACCTCAATGTACTCACATACCTAGAGTTCTCAGTAATATACATTGGGCTATTAAAAACAAAGTTATATAAACCAAACAATGTATAAAAGTATACATTATTGTTATGAAAAGCAAATTTGAATCCTTTATGAAATGTTTCTATGAAATGGATAAGAATTTAGTTTACAAAGTTTTATCTTACTCGTAATTGCCTCACTAAATCAACGACTTAGAGTGTGATTGTTCCACACGTAGGTTCGAAGAAAGAAGAAGATTAAAACTAGAAGAGGGCAGCATATTCCTGAAGAGGGTCAGATCAGATAAATTTGAACGTAGTTCTTTATTTTGAAATTTTGTTGGCATGTAATAAATTTTAATAACGTTTTAAATTGTAATGTTCTGATCCGTTTTGTAACCCTACACCTTTAAATTTATGTAAAGTATCAAATGATGTATTTTTCATTTTAAACTTCTAATCGAAATTTTATTATAAGGGGTTTCACCACCAAATTACATCTTAGAGTTTAAAATTTATATATAATTTCCAGAGCAAATGTTTTTGAAAAGTTAATGTGACACCTCAGATTCGTATCCGGGTCGGGTACGGGTTGAGAGTGTTACAACGACTGTTCGGCGAATTCACTTTCCATAAGGTTAGCCAAGGCTAATAATCAAACCTTGAGACGAATGATAACAACGGAAAGAGAGTTCCCTTAGCAGCCACCCAGTTAGTAAGCTAGTTGAGGAAGATAAAAAAAAACATTGCAATGTGATATAGACTGGTTCTATGCAATAAAATTGATTCTTCAACTGTCAAAAGATAAACATCTCAACTAGTTCGAGACTTGCATGAATTAATTCACAATTCATTCCGTACAGAGTTATTATATGACCACAAATGATGCAGTTTCTGAACTACTATATCTATTGATAATTAGTTTTTATCACTAACAATGATCACAAATATGAAAGCAGTTTGAAGAAGGTAAGTATATTATTACTACCAAGGCATCAGTCAAGGCCTGATATCTATTCTCGGTTCCTGATACGGATACAACTCTAGTTTAAACTGAACCAACTTAGCCTGAAGACGCCAGAGTCCAACAACTTAAGTCTTAAAAAACGAAGTTTGAAGATTGAACTCAACAAAAACAAAGAAGAAGAAGCTTTACAGGCTTTGTTTGCATGATTATTCCTATCAAGAATTATGGTTTTGCTTTGCAGGCTTTCCATTTAATAATTAGAAACTTGAAAATTAAAATGATCAAATACTCAAGGATCCTTAGCTACATAATCAGAGCAGTATGCAAAACCTAATTTTCAGAATATTCAAAAAGCACTTGCACTTTTTCAATGAAATTTATCATTAAACCTAGATGCATTCTAGCTAGCCACATAAGAGCTCATATGAATTTCTGCCTGAAATCATCTTTACATGGGAGCAATACCAAGCAATGTTTTCAAATTAAGAAAAACTGTGACGAGGGCAGGCATAATCAGAAGTAACAGACACACCGTTAAAACAAGATGACAAGCATGTCATCAATTGCAAAGCAGAAAAGCTATGTAATTGCTGAACTGGAAACCCAGAGTGCATTTTAAAACATGAGCTGATAACCACGTTATCTCAATCAACGTAAAATACAATTCACTAGTATTACCACTTAATAAAACAATATATATGAACTACTTGAGCAAAACATGCTGATAGGCTTCAAGCTAAGATTGACAGATATAAGTAATTCTCTCGACAATGAAAATACAAAGTCGCACCTGTTTTCAATTCGTAAATTGTTCAGTATCTTCCTAACATTTTAAGTATGCATTCTTAAGTTTTAATGCATAAAGGGACTTCTTATTCATGCGTACATTACAGTCGAATGCGGAAGGGCTATGATTTCCTCCACATTTTTCATAATGATGTTCCTTGCATAACTTGAGCAAACAAAGTTAACATTTTGTTCAGATTTCCCAAAGGCTTAACAGCGAATACCCCATCAATTGAGAACATTATTTTGACTAAGTTTTGCATATTCCTCCCCTTGTTCAATCTCATCTCTAAGGCATTTCAAAAACAAAGGAAACAAGCAAACTCATAGAATTAACTGACGCTAATAACTAAATTCCACTAACCTCCAAATTAAACCACAAAAAATTCGCTGAAAATACAGTCCTCGACAAAATTAAGAGGCACTGTCATCGCCATCATCGGCTTTACCCTTGTTTCCGACTTCTTTCGAAATACGAACACCAGAACGCACCACTCGCCGCCGTGTCCTCGAAGGTAAGATATTGTCCAAGTCAACCTCCGCCAACGGATCATCAGATAAATCCCCCTCTGATTCATTCCCGCCATCGCTCGAATCATCATCGTCGCTATCAATTTCCTCCTCAATTAAAACCCCTTTCCCTTTCCGGTCCACTGGAGCGCTTCCATTCTCCTCCTCTTCATCGTCATCTTCATCGTCTTCATAGTCATCGTCCTCTTCCTCTTCCTCTTCTCCTTCTTCGGAGTCGACTGAAGGATCTTCGTTCTGGGGCCTGGGTTCAGAAACAGAGGAATCGTTGTTTCCAGAAGGGTGGAGAGCGTGATCTTCTTCACTGGGTAGGATGGTTTCATCTTGGGTTTGGAGTTAGGGGATTTAAGGGGGAGGTTTTGCTGTGGGTCGTGATCTTGGGAGGTGGGGTCGGCTTTGCGTTTGGCGGGCAATGCAGGTTCGGGAGAACTCTTGGTTTCCACCATTGGATCCGAAGGAAGCTGTGGTCTTTTTGGGGGTTAGGGTTTACGGGAAGAGCAGCCCTCTTTTGAGGGCGTATTGCAATTGCAAAGCTCGTAATTTTTAATATATTAATAAATTTAAAAATTTATTATTTTAGTGTATTTATAGATTGTTGTTTTGGAGTTTAGATTAAAATTATTTCATATATTCTTTTGATAATTTTTTAGTTTAATTTTTAATTTATGTTTATATTAAGTTATATAATATTATATATTTTACCTATAGTTAAAAAAAAGGTAAAATTTTCGGTGAGCATAACGAACAACAAGGCGAGCAATGAGCACTAAGCTTAATGAGCAACGAGTCGAGCAACAAGTTTTCTTAACGAGCATGAGTCTAGCAAATTTTAATGAGCTTAATGAGCAAAGAGTCAAGTCGAGCAACAAATTTTTTTAACAAGTACGAGTTGAACACTGTCCAACTTGCAATCGACTCGCTCGATAAGCATCCCTAATCGCAATCACGAAACACATAATTTTAAGGTTTTTTTATTCCTTATTTAAGGATGATTTTCTTGATGTAATATTTTATTATTTTATTTTTATAATATTTTTTATAGAAGCAACTAATTTTATTCAAAATAGGAAATATCTCAAATTATAATAAAAATTTATAATTAGAATCGTAAATTAAGAACATAATTAAAAAAATTTCCTATAAACATTGAAACAAAACTAGCAACTTAATATCACGTGAGGATCATATAAGTAAATATTAAATCTAACCAAGAAACTCGAATAAAGATATATACAATCAGATCTGATCACATCGATAGAAATATGGGATCAAGTAAATATTAAATCTCAAGCTAGAACAATCAGATGATCGATAAACGAACCATAAAATGGGATCAAGCTATTGAAAAACCACTGACAAACCGCAAATCAGATTCGAGCGACGTGAAAAGTTATACACGAACACAAATCGGATACCCAAATCCAATATGAGAGTCCAAAGTAGGGAAGATCAATCATATATCAGATAATCGCCATTTTAAAGAGTCGTGCAATGTCAAATCAACCCTTAGAAAAAAGATAAATAAAAAAAAGTCAAAGAACCAAAAAACATGCTAAAAACATAAAAAACATGCCATAAAAGCATATGAAAACTTGCAACACATGTAAACTTATTGAAAAAAAGAGAAAAAGAAAATAAGTATACAATATAGAAAAGAGAAAGACAATAAAGAATACCGGCGGTCGGTAACCAATATTAAAGTTGACGTCGCCGTTAATCAACAAAAATGAAAAAAAAGAGATGAATGACACACCAATGAGAGAAAACTAGGTTTTTTGGGTTTTGAAAATTGAAAAACCTATTATTATTTTTATACTTTTTTATTGTTAGTAAATCAATGATATTTTAATTAATTTTATTCGATCAATAAGGTACTGATATGATGAAAAAATAATCATATGCTAAGGATATCCACTAACCCAATGGTTATACATGTTAATTGTTAGGGGTGTTAAAAAAAACCCGAAACCGTTAATTGTAACCATTAACTGGTATACCATTATATTTAACAGGTTAATTAATTGAACATTTAATATTAAATGGTTTTGGTTAACCGAACCACTAAAAATGATGGTTAACAGTTAAGGTTACGGTTACAAATTTTGATAAACAATTAACCAATGATTAACCGTTAATAAATTAAATTTATAATTATATTTTTAATTTATTATATTTTTACACTAGTAACTTGATATAAGTTTGTATTAATTATAATATATATATATATAATAAAAATTGTATACAAGTAACTTAATATATTTTTTTATATTTTTTTCTTTGAAAATATATAAACATACTTACACCAATATTGTAACACCCCCAACTCGTATCCGACCCGAATCCGAGTTCGAGGTATCACATTTGCTTTTCAAAACTTTTGCTTGTACAAAATTAGTGAATAATTTAAAACTTTTATAACATATAACTTATTCAAAACGTTTACAAAACTATTCAGAGCTTATACAATACATTATTTTGAATACATGCCAACTAAAACTTTAGTTGTTAACATACATATTATTCATCTTTCTTCTAATCTGACCTTCGGTAAGGAGAAACCTGTCTTGCTCCACATTGCTCTTTACTCTTCTCACTTTTGTAACCTACGTGTGAAACAATCACACGCTAAATCTATGACTTAGTGAGGCAATAAACATATAATGTAAACATTTACTAGTAATCATTTCTTACAACTCATATACTGTTATATGTAACAAATACATACATACATATATGTCATTATCATTCATATCTCTTATCTCCCGTTCCTATGATCTTTTATGTCCATATTATATATATCTGATAGACTTGTAATTATATCATCATGTCAATAAATTATACTCATTCACATATATCTTAACATGTATTCACGTATACCATATAACATATATATATATATATATATATATATAATATATATATATATATATATCATGTCATGCAAAACATATATCCTATCGTAAATCAAACACACAAGCAAATATATCATCATCTTCATTCTTATCACTATCATTGATTCCTTTTATCATATAATCTTATAATTACCATTTGTACCATCATATATCACACATAACATTTCATAAGGAAACAAACATATCATCATATCCAGTTTATTAATATTATCTCTTTATTAGCCCATTGTACACATGTGAGAACTGTAGATACGTGAGTCTATTGAGGTTGTGCACTAGTATGCTGTCACCACAGCTCGTATAAATGTCCCGAAGGACCTATCCAGAGGTCACAAAGACCCCGACAACTATAAAGAGGTCATAAAGAACCTTAGCAACTGTCCATAGGTCCCGAAGAACCTAGGTAAACTGTCTATATGTCTCGAAAGACATAGGTAAACCCTCAACTCTTGGCATGCCAACTATACCCTTAGCTCTCATATCACATAACATGGGCATTATCATTTATAACATTTCATATCACTTGTTATTTTTCTTCTGTCACATACCAAATATATGTGTAACCATATATCTCATATTATATCACATATATCACAAGTACATGTATTCACGTAGATCGTTTCATATGACTTATACCATTTCTCATTTGTTCATGTAACTCGCATGTCATATCATGTAACATATAACACATAATCATATAGGCTTGCGGTTTTATCACCTATCATGTTATTTCACATATACACTTTTATATCACATAAACTCATATATATCATGTCACATATAATAACATATGACACATATACCCATAACTTCATATCACATACTTATATCAATTCGCACTTAGTCACATGGGTCATTTCACATAACATATATCACATCACATATATTCATGGGTATATCCCATAACATATAAAATAACATATAAACTTATATATGTATTCATGTGTATACTTTCATCTAGCCTATATATCAATGCCATATAACTTATCTCATAACTTATTTGATATTCCTATATATTCTCATCTTATAACTTATATTACCTATGCATATAACCTTATGACTTATTATCAAGTACTCAATTAAAGTTCCTATATGGTTCCATCTTTATCATATAACCTATAAGCTATTTTTATATTACCCTATATCAACCATACTTTGTTTATCTCACTTTTCATATCATTCATTTATCACATATATGTCACTTTTCTTATAACACATCTCTGGTTTTCATATGACATGTAAATCATTGTCATATTTTGTTCTCATATATTTCCCATACATCACATATATCACATATTCATATAGGCTCACGATTTTTATCACCTATCATGTTATTTCACATATACACTTTTATATCACATTAAAAGATGGACATGTAGTCTTATGTGCCCTATCAATACTATCTATTCATATAATCTCCTTTTACCTTATAAGTAAATACTACTTATTTTATCTCACCTTTCCATTTATTCTCCTAATTATTTATATCAATTCACATGGTTTATTACACAACTTATATCACCTTTTCATGTATTACAGATATCTCGTCACATATCTTATATCTTGTCATCATATCTTTACATATAAATAAAATGTCAACACATATAATCAAGCATACATACATTTCATGTCATTCACATACTTATAATCAAGACTTCATGCACTATAACTATCGAAATAGACTTATCACAAGTCCAATTTCCATATAATTATATAAAATAAGATGCACTCACCTTGGCCTCACTAAGTTTCAATCCACTTTATGATTTCCTCTCTTTCGATCGAATCTTAACTTGATACACAACCCAAAACTTGTTCGTGTTCGATATCTACATAATTATACATTGATACATATCAGTATCCCATTGTTATAATATAATATCATTTCTGTTAGGATCAAGTCATTCATTTCTGAACAACTTCCCAGTGGGTCACCCATCCTTGGATTTCCTAGTCCAAGCACGCTTAACCACAGAGTTCTGAAGCGAATGGTCACAATTCCTTCTTAAAACCAATTGGTGATAAGTAGGTGGTCATTTTAACCTCATATCTTTGTAGTGGGTGATCACTGGGTTCCCTCAAGCCAAGGTGATTCTTGTGGGGCACCCCCCATAGTTCACCACGGCATTGCAGAGCCCCGCATCTATAACGTGCTGCGGGGGGACCTAGGGGCTTCGCAAGGCACACGTAGGCCTCGGCAGGTTGGTCAGTCACGCACCGATATCGCGCCCATACATGATAGAATCCCTAAGGGTGATCGTTGGATCCCATAACCCAACAATCACCCCAGCGACACTTGGGGGATTCGAACCTACAACCTGCTCTGATACCAGTCAGTTGTTAGGATCGAGTCATTCATTTATGAACAACTTCCCAGTGGGTCACCCATCCTTGGATTTCCCTAGTCCAAGCACGCTTAACCACATAGTTTTGAAGCGAATAATCACCATTCCTTCTTAAAACCAATTGGTGATAAGTAGGTGGGCCATTTTAACCTCATATCTTTGTAATGGGTGATCACTGAGTTCCCCCAA